ATTTCAGTTTATTAGCTCTCATGATGCCAGTGATCAGTGGTGATTTAAACATATTATGAATTTCGTTATTGCTTCTCACTCTCCATTCCCCGCTGTTTGCATCTTTGATGGGTGTCTGCGATTCTCGTGGTGAAAATGTTGAAAATAAACTAAATGCCATGGAGACTGATCCTCGTACTCGGTCACAAAATTACTGAAACAGTTAATTACCAACAAACAATTTTCACATTTGTGTTTTACATATAAGAGAAACAGAATATGAGCTTAAATTGAAAGCACTTGCTGAACATAGTAAAGAGACAACATGCAACAACTCATGCTTCTAATACCAACAACAATTTAGTTACAACAAAGAAAAAGAGTGTGCGCACCACTTTATGTACATAACAATATCAAATCACATGTTTGTTCTAAATAATATACTAGTTGTGATACATATGTTGTAACTGACATGAAAACTGAGTCATGGATTTGTGAAGGTTTCATAAACACCCCTACAAAATGTAAAATTAAAAGGGTATCACCTATTATGTGGATAGCCACTCTGCTAAGATCTTTTTTCCAGGCCAAGACGGCGTGGTTGGTAATGAACAGACAGATAGATTGGCTGGATCTGCACAACTGGGTGGTGAATTGATACATGACAAGGCAGATGTGGTCAAGGCCCTTTGGGAACAAGCAACGGAATCAGTAGAGATAGAAGATTATTATGGCCTGGAGAGAATGAGGCATCTGGCTGTAACCAGAGGGCCTGGCCGGCTCACTACACTCAGAAGAAAGACATATAACCAGATTGTGACCGGTACTATCAGTACTGGAACTCTGCGCTGGCTGCTGAAGATGAGGAGGGAGCATGCATGGGAATGCCCCAAGTGCTATGATGTCAATTCTTGACTCAACTCAACTCTGCTAAGAAAGACAGAATCATCTGGAATAAAACCTATGCAAGGAAGCTGAAAGAAGACCTTGGCTCCCAGGTTGACCCAGCCTTGAGTGGGTACCAGGCAGAAGTCTGGAAAGTAAAGGTGGCCAGTGCAATACTGACCACATCAAATCCCCCACCAAGTTTCGATTGGTCTATAAAATATAGGTCTATCCCTATATGCCCAATACGCCTAAAGACATGGAAAAAGGTCCTTTACTTTAATTTTTACTAAGGAAGCTAAGCCTCTCAACTGTAACTTTTTTGTTGTTGTTGAAATTTCACTAACTCTTAGTTAGCTAGTTGGGTTATCATCATTGCACTCCGGACATGTCCATAGGTGCTCAGATCCTCCCCTCAGTATGAACCCCAACGTCCGATGACTAATAGTACCAGTTCTATGTTGATTAACAAGTCATCTGGTGTGCGTCTCGTCTTTTACTATCTTAATTCCCAAATCTGCCATTCTGGCGAGTGATGTGGATTCACTGCCCCCAAAGTCCTCTATCCTTCCCATTTCTCTGAGGGCATTAATGTTCACTAACTCTTCCAGTCCCAAACAAAGCCTTGTGTGAAAAAGACTTCACACCTTGATTTCACTCCGTAGCATAATGTGCTGTCTAACTTATTTTTTTTTTAAATACTCGGTCAAAACATATTAGAGAAGTCTGGCTTTCCCAAATGGTCACTACGGCTGTATATACTTTGAATGTAATTAGTTCATGATTTTTTATCATTTTTCTTCTTCGCTTTACATTATCTCCCATTAAACCTTATGGTGCTAAAAAATTTAAAAACTGGCTGTCATTAGGGTTTTGGGCGAGAGACCCGGTCTGATCCTTACTGAGCAATCACAACCTTTCTGTCTCAGACAATTCCCAGAAAATTATCTAGCATCAATTTTATGATTTCATTTAACCAAGAAATGGGTTCTTTCGTTATATCCTACCCCAGATGACGTCACAGGACAGTCCAACATTTTAGAGGGTGGTAAGGCTGTGTTTCCCGGCTTTCTGACGCTTTAAACGACCCCAAAACATCTAGAATTGGCCCTAATCCAACTATGTCCCACGAGAGAGTGCAGCCTTGGTCCCACCACTGCATGCAGCCTATCTACCACTCCCTGAAATATTAGACTGTCCTGTGACCTTGTATGCAATTTATAACCGGTTCTAACTTATGACCTCATTCCTTATTTATGGTCGCCCCCTACATCCCTTCTCAGACATCTCATTTCCATGGTTACTAATTTTCTTTTTTGGCTTGTTGTGAGTGACCATGTGTGCAGTACTGGTAGCATAGTGTGGGAATGAAAATGTACGATTATTATTATAAGCATTAAAGTGAGATATCTGAGAAAGGTGGTCCAAGTGTCAAGAAGGCTTAAAGTCCGCAATTAGACAATACGTCAAGATCTTGATACCCAGTCCTTACTAACCTGAGTGGATCATTCATAATTACGATGATTTTGGACATGTATGCAGAATGAGAGAAAATCTGCCACAATGGCAGGCATGGGAGGCTAAGAACCAGGGAATCAGACCTCCAGGGTGCACTGGGAAGACAGCATTCAACAGTCCCTAACAGACAGAGGACTTGAATGGAACAAAGCCATGAAGAAGACTGCTGACAGAGACATCTAGCGACCTCTCTGGCAAACCTCAGCGCCCCAAGGTAGAAGAGGAGCGACTAAGTAAGTAAGCAAGCAAGCATTACAGTGACCTGTCTATTTATTTTGTAGGGGTGTTCACAATGGAAGAAGTCAACCTTCATTAACTCCCAGAACCATTACAGTTCCAGATCAACATTTAATGCTTATACAGCATCAGCAGTATAAAATCAATGTAGTATTAAAGAAATCTGGCAAGGCAGAACTGACAAAAACAGCAAAATCCTAATCAACATACATACAACTAAAACACTACATGAACATACTCCAATAACATAAAATTCATTCACATTCAGCTCAACAATTAATCTTCTATGAAAACATTGCCAATGACGATGTATATTCTTCAGCATTCTGAGTCCTTGAGGCTTAACCTTCCTTTTACCATCCATGCCATATGGTGTTAGTAGTCATCTTTATCCACAGTCTTCTGTCTTGTGCCTTTTCCATCATTTCTGACTCAGATGATCTCCTATGCTAGGGCTATTCAACTGGTGGCCCGCAGGTCAGATCTGGCCCGTAGAGGCCTAGCAAGTGGCCCGCAGATAATTGTCAACTGTATTGTATTAATGATCTTTCTAACTGTGTTCCAGGCCTCTGGCTTGCAACGATCCAAATTGTAAACTCTTGAATAAATGTCGCTGACAAGCCCTGTCCTATGCCAGGCTTTCAAACTGTCCAGCATCTTTTCTTTTTATTTCTTTCTTCACTCACTTTACCTCTTTCACTTTCCCATCATCATGATGTATTCCAGTTTTCCCCTTTTCAAGGTTTGCAACCGGAGACATAACCGGGCTAGACTAATCTCACCTGTTATCAGGATTTGTGGCAGAAAAAAAAAAAGCGGAACATCCAAGGATCTCGGGCCCAGCTACACACTTATGAGTAACGAAGTCGGGCCAGGACACTGTGATTGGACATTCATTTATGCGTCTTAACCTTTCAAATGCGCAAGTTTAAGTGGCAGGGATGCCAGCCTGGTGGGACGTTATATTGCGTCAATGGTCTTATTGGCGGCCACGCGTGCTCTACATTATACGATGTAAGCGCTTTTAATGTGTAACTGGTCCTAACTCCCTCCATAGCTCACACACTGAACCTAGGTCCCACCAGAGAGTGCATTCTACATCCCGCCATTTCAGACTTCTTAACATTTTGCGGTGTTGCTGCAGACATGCAACACTACCCTCCTCGCATTTGCCAACGCTGACAGCTGGAATAAAGTCATGACTACTTAAAATCCTAGATGGCTGTTATACACCCACCAACAAATACTAATTCTCCTTATGAGTGAGAACGCAATGTCCCAGGCCACTGTTCACAGAAGAACGATTAACAGGCAATGCAGAAAGCTTTGTGAAGACAACCTTACACTGGGACACCCCTCTAACATAGACCAGCCCGACCAATCATCAATGACAGGTCAGCCAGTGTGTAGCTGGGTCCGAGTTTGTTACAAACAGAATGATAGGGTTGGTTCTGCAACATCGTATGAAGGACCAGCAACTAACTTCAACAGATAAATTTATAATCCTACCCACCAGTAGTAATCATAATCAGGGTTTGTAACAGAAGAGTTAATAACCCTATTAATCAACATAACTATAATCAGGGTTTATAACAAAAGAGTTTTCATGTGTGGGTTCCAGGGACCCATTGTAGGGAAAGCAAAAATAGACCCACTGCCTCCCCAACAAGCATGTAGTGAAGAGTTGACTAACTGGGGCTATCCATCAAAGTCAGAGTGCCTCTGCCTGAGAGACAAGGAATTAAGAGTGCATACAAATAAGCCAGATCTTACAAATGGATAAGCACGCAACAATCAGGTTTTGGAAAAAGACTAAAGTCCAGAGGTGGACGAACACCCAGAACTTTCTGCCAGAGTTTACAGCTGGTGAACAAGAAGAAAAAGAAGAAGAAGATAAATAATCGAGTTTAACTATAATCAGGATTTATAACAGAAGATTTATCAGTCTAACTAGTCAGCTGAATGATACTATAGCCTATAATCAAAATCTGAAGTCATCTGTGATCACAGCCTGTAAATAACAGTTTAAATTTCTACTAATAATAATTTCTTATATTACTCCCAGAGACATCTTACGAATGGCCCAGTGTAACAAGACAATCACAATTTTACTGAGCTCAACTGTAATCAGAATTTGAAACATATTATTAAACAAATTAACGAAAGCCAGTCGTAATCATGATTTGTATGAAAAGATTTACCAGCTATTACTCATTTGCTGCTGAAATGATTTCAAAATGTCTGAACACTACAGTCAGCCATCACTGTCAGCATACGTTAAACAATTAAATTAGGAAATTAAAAACATGTCCCAAAAAAACATAACAAAACAAACAAAAATAAAAATCAGTATACTTGATTACTATTTATAGGTGACATATTTAACAGCACTTCTGCTTCTTCTTTGCTGCCGCACTGGGGCCAACACGTATTGTGTTTGTCGGCTGTTTTCTTGCCTCGTCTTGCATCTTACGCTTTGACTCCAGCACCAGTCTAGTTATGGCATTAAACATCTGCGGAGATACGAAATTAAGGAAACTATAAATATGAAATTAAGGACATAAAAAATATGACATTAAGGGTATCATAAAAATGAAATTAAAGACATCATAAATATGAAATTAAGGGCACCATAAATATGAAATTAAGGACATCATAAATATGAAATTAAGGAAATCATAAATATGAAATTAAGGGCACCATAAATATGAAATTAAGGACATCATAAATATGAAATTAAGGACATCATAAATATGAAATTAAGGATATTATAAATATGAAATTGAGGACATCATAAAAATGAGATTAAGGACATCATAAATATGAAATGTTGGTTGCTTGCCTCGTAGGCAGATTCACTCCACCTTGAAAGGAAACAGCCCTTAATAGTCAACTCTTACGGCATTCTTGTTGGGAGGCAGTTGGTCTATTATCCCCCCCCCCCCCCCCCCCAACAAAAGGGCCCCAGAATCAACATAGGGAAAAGACATAATAAAACATATATTTGCAAACACAGTAAAACATATATTTGCAAAGACACAATAAAACATATATTTGCAAAGACATACATGAATGTACAAATTAAATGATGTGAGGACTTGAAAATTCTTTTTTGTTTTGTTTTCTCTGAGTTTTAATTTAGTGCTAAAAATTAATTGTGTATCTTTTAAAGAACTTAAAAATCAACCCCAGCATTTGCTGACTGGTTTAAGCAGGCAGTTTTACATTCAGCAGTTTTCCATTGCTTTCTGAATGGTCAGCTTTCAATACATTTGTTGAAATCATTGGAAAGCGGTCTGACATTAAATCATTTGCAGCGATAACTATAATTACAAAGTTCAAAAAGCCTACAGACGCCTTTGGTTCAGCTAAAGATTTAAGTAAAAGCCAATTTATTCCTTCCATTTTCTAAACAATAAGAATTATAAGCAAGGGAAAGGCTAATTCCGGCATCAAATGCCTGTAGAAGTTGGATGTGTTGGCCAAAAATAGCAAATATCACAGCCGTGTTGTAAACAAGCACAACTCATTTATATCTTCGGCTGAACGCAGCATAACTATAAGTAAAATATATAAAACAAATAAAATAACACCCCCCCCCCCCCCCATATTCAGCGTCAATCTATGATGAATATTAGCTCCTCAGCCTTTCAGTTAAAGTAAAATGGAAAAGGCCCCCTTTTAATGCCACTAGGACATTGGGCATATGATGCCAGAATCATTTTTTTTTTTAGATCAGTCGGCACTCAATTGGTGATGTAGTCAGCATTATGCTAGCTGACCTTACCTGTAAACTATTTTAGACTGGGTATACCTGGAATTCAAGGTCATTTTTGAAAAAAAAAATCCAACTCAATGCAGACTTGAACTCAAGACCTTTGGGCTGGTAGATGAATATTTGTGATAAAAGCTGAGAATTCAATCTGAGACTATATTAGCTTGGTCTCTTATGAAATACACCTGGTCTAACTAGAAGGGAACAGATTTGGGAACGCACTGGAGGACACAAGGACAAAATAATAAAAATGATAAACCGGATGGAGAATGATCCACAAGGGAAAATATCAGGAATATGAGGATAAAAGGAACACATCGCCATGTGGGTTCCGGGGAACTATTATAGGGAAAACAAGAATAGACCCACTGCCTACCCAAAAGCATGTTGTAAGAGTCAACTAACTGGGAGCTTCCTTCGAAGTCTGAGTGCGTCTGCCTGAGAGGCAAGGAACCAGCAGTTTGCACACAAATGTGTCAGATCTGTCAAACGGATGCACACGCAACACTCAGTCCCAAGGTGGATGAACAACCAGAGCTTTTCGCCAGAGTTTCAGCTGGTGACTGCGAAGAAGAAGAGGAACACAATATGGCACAGACAGGAGGCAGTGGTCTAGCAACTAGGACAGGAAAGCTACTAGGATACGAACACAAAGCCAGAGAGCTGGCGCACGTACCACAATCTTAGCCACACAAGTAACACAACTAAACCGGACCACCGGATATAACTAGAGATTGTTGGCAGGTCACTGCCAACAGCAGGTTGAATGTGACGTGTTGGCCCCAGTGCGGCAGCAAAGAAGAAGCAGAAATGCTGTTGAATATGTCACTTATAAATAGTATTTTTGTTTGTTTTGTTGTTTTTTGGGCATGTTTAGAAAAAAAATTTTTTAAAGAATGGAACCGCAGCTAGAATTGAGACTAAATTCTCATCCCTGGCGCAGGTGTTTGAGAGATCAGTATGAGATGACGTCGGAGCTAAGGATTTGTGCCTGACAAAAAAAAAGCACCCGCTCTATGGACAGAGACTAAGCCATACTAGAAATAATCTGATGCAATAAATTGATCATCTAGCTCGTAAACATTCTTTTCTTCTTTTTTTGTCTTCACCCATAAAGGAGCAGTTGGCACCTTCTTTCTTTTCTTCTTCTTCTTCTTCATAGGCACTGGCAGCAGACTCCTGTAGAAATTTATGGTTAATTCATTTCTGGACTGTGGCTTTGGTACAGGACCTGTGTTTTGCATGCGCATCTGTTTTACAGAGCTAGCCTGCTCATAAGCAGTCTGTTGGTTCCTCGCCTCTCAGGCAGATGCACTCTGACTTTGATGGAAACACTCCTAATTAATCAACTTTTACATCATGTCTTTATAGATTTAGGTAGTGGGTCAGTTGCTTCCCCCCACCAAATGGGGCCCTGGAACTCACACGAGGAGAATAAGTATACAATCTGGTCCATTATTCTGATGATCTTGAGACAGGAAAAACCTGACCATCTATGCTTTATCAGTATGGCAGATGAGGAGGATTCTGTTTGTGAGTAAGTTTTCTTCAATGTTCAAACTGTACTGCAAGGAAAACTAGCCCAAGCATTAAATGCTCGCAGAAGTTGGATGTGTCTGCCGAAGGGTGCAAATATCATAGCCATGCTGCAAACAGGCACAATGCATTTACATCTTCAGATAACTGCAGAAGTAACTGTATTGCCTGTATTAATTATAATGGTTTTTTTTAATTTTTATTTAAGGCTGGAGGAAGGAGTAAATTTATTCAGATTCATGTTCAGCATTTTGCCAATGTTTTTAAAACAGTCAACTTATTTTTGTTATAGCTTCTGTCATGTGGCACTGGTCATCATGTTTCCTTTCTTTTTCCTCCACGTTCACCGGCTGTAAACTCCAGCGGAAATTTCTGGTTGTTTCTCCATTTCTGGACTTTAGTCCTGCTCCAGAAATTGAGCGTTGCGTGTACATCCATTTTACAGGTTTGACTCATTTGCATGCAAAATGTTGGTTCCTTGCCCCTCAGGCAGATGTACGCCGACTTCGAAGGATGATCATCATATCTATCCATGGTTTCGTCTAGTGTACTGCCTATCTTTCCTTATACAAACATTCATCCATGTTATGACACTAAATTATCCAACAAACTCTCCCTCTCTCGTCTCTTATTCTCTGTTCCCTCCAATTTTCCTGCTGTCACAACATAAAACGAATATTTCCCTTTTTATGACGTATCTAAAGAAAGTAGCTTATCTTCTTATGTGTACAATTACATTTATGAGTTCCTTTCTTTGAGAATATCTTCCTTGCACTTTTTGTTTTATCAGTCCATGGCATTCTCATAATTTTTCTACAAGCCACCATTTCTTCTACATAATTTCTCACTGGTCTGCTGATTAATTCACTTCCATACAACAGGGTGAATACATTTAGCCAGTGAGAATATGATGAGCAAGAAAAGACCACTCAAAGAGATGAAGATCAACTTTGGGACTGTATTATTGCAGGACTATTCAACTGGCAGCCCATAGGCCAAATCTGGCTCATGGAGGCCTAGTAAATGGCCCGTGGATCATAGCCAGTTGTATTGTATTAACTATCTTTCTATGATAGGGCTCAGGCCTTTGACAATCTCCATTTTTAAAATGTTGGTCCCTAGGCAAACTTAGTTGAACAGCCCTGTACTATGTTATTCCAGTATTTGGTTTGCTTTCATGCATCTATGCCATGCGAGATGTCCAAAGTGAGAAAGGCCAAAATACACAGTGACTCATAAATTGCCAAACCTGGGACTAATAATAAACAGACAATGTACTCATCAGCACTTATAGAAAGAAGAAAGAAAGAAAGACACACTAGACAACATAAAATGTGAACGTTATAGTTGCTGTGCAAGGAACCCAACCTGTCACTTGCAACTGACAAATGTGCCTCGCTGTGAAAACAAGTTTACTAAGATACATGACCAACTAGGCACCTCTAAAAAGTGTCTTTGTTAGCCATGTCTTTTGTACAGCTTGCAATCCACAACCAAGGAATACAAAAGAATTCGTCTCAAACCAGTGAAATGACACCATAGGTTTCACTGGCGTCTTTCCGCCTTTCCAAACGATAGTGTTATATTGCACTGTGAGGAGGGATGGAACACCAAGTGCATAATGGCCATTCAATTAGTTTTACCCAGGGACCAACATTCTGACAAATGGGGATTGTCGCGGACCAAAAGCCCCAGTCCCAGCACAGAAAGATCATTAACATAACTGACAGGTGATCCGCGGGCCACTTGCTAGACCTATGCGGGTCAGGTTTAGCCTGTGGGCCGCCAGCTAAATAGCCCTGCCGTACATCATCGGTTATTTAGAAAAGTGCATAACAGGTAGTCGGCTCTGTGGCTAAGTCGATGCGAACGCTTCGTAATGCCGGGATCCAAGCTACAGGCCATGCGTCTTGCGTTGGTTTCGACAGTGGTATTAAAAAAGCCGACCGCACAGAAGGCAATGGCAAACTACTGGATGAAATTTGCCTAGAAAAGCCACACAACAGCCAGGGTCTGTTAAGGTTGGTTCTGCAACGTCCTGTAAAGGATACGCAATTAACCTAACCATAACAGGTTATGAAATTTGTAGAAAACAAGCCACTGTGTTGAGTCATCAAAACGTCATGCATGTACACATGGTCAGGTATACATTTCTCCTCAGCCGCAGCAACAATGTCAACAGGGTGATATTTAAAACAAAAC